CAAATATATAAAATATAAAAGGAAGCCTGGGCAGCATGGTGAAACCCCGTCTCTACAAAAAATACAATAATTAGCCAGGTGTGGTGGCGTGTGCCTGTGGCTCCAGTACTTGGGAGGCTGGGATAGGAGGATTGCTTGAGCCCAGGAGGTGGAGGTTGCAGTGAGCCAAGATTGCACTATTGTACTCCAGCCTGGGCAACAGAGCAAGACCCTGTCTCCTAAAAAAAAAAAAAAAGAAAAAAGAAAGTCTGGATGTTTACTTCTTAACCTTTTATTTGAAAATAATTCCAAATTGACAAGTTGCGAGAATAAGAATAGTACAAACAATACTCACGTACTTTTTTTTTTTTGAAACGGAGTCTTACTCTGTCGCCCAGGCTGGAGTGTGGTGGCACGATCTTGACTCACTGTAACCTCTGCCTATGGGGGTCAAGCATTTCTCCTACCTCAGCCTCCCAAGCAGCTGGGACTACAGGCGCACACCAGCATGTCCAGTTAATTTTTGTAATTTTAGTAGAGATGGGGTTTCACCATGTTGGTCAGGCTGGTGTTGAACTCCTGACCTCAGGTGATCCACCCGCTCTGGCCTCCCAAAGTGCTGGGATTATAGGTGTGAGCCACCATGCTCGGCACTCATGTACTCTTTATGCAGATTTGCCTATTGTGAACATTAATCCTATTTGCTTTATCATTTCTCTCTATCTCTACACAATGTGTACATACACATGGAATTGTTTAACTCTGAACCGTTTGAGAGTAAGTTGCAGATATCATCGTTCTTTACCCCTAAATGCTTCAATGTGTTCTCTTTAGAATAAGGACATTTTCTTAAATAACCACAACATAGTCATCAACTTTAGTAAATTTAACACCATATTGTTAAATATGGTATTTGATACCATATTTAATCTATTATCAAATTCCAAATTTATTTATTTTATTTTTTTTATTTGAGACGGAGTCTAGCTCTGTCACCCAGGCTGGAGTGCAGTGGCGTGATCTCGGCTCACTGCAACCTCCGCCTCCCGGGTTCAAGTGATTCTCCTGCCTC